TAACCTGAGGTAGAGCATTGTTGTGCAGAAAAATGACACTACGTGTCAGCTTCCCTGGACGTCTTATTCTTATTACTCGATAGGGCTTGTTCAAGGTTTCATTATATAGGTTTGCATTAATATGAACTCTAGATAATGTAAACTCCATGAGCAAGGGTTCTTCAATTATTGTTTTTGAGGCTAACCTGACCAAAGATCAGTTTCAATTGCACAAACTCATAGATAGTAATAAAATATGATGGTGTTCAATAATTGCAGTTCCCTCTTTTAATGTATGAAGAAATGTGTTAGAGAGTATCAGAGTAAATATTATGGTATGGAAGTATCAAAGTCGTAGGTTGAAGTGTAATAAATCAGTTCGTCTTCTTGTTAAGAGAAATAAATAACTGAAAATCTCAAAGTTGTATTGTGGTATAGTTTAGTTCAAGATATAAAAAATTTGGCCTGAGGCTAGTAGGATGACCTAGTCGACCGCAGTATTATAATAATGAACAAAACCTATTCATGTTACTAATCCCTCAATTGTCTTTGCGACGAGTAGCAATAGTTTAGACGGACTTTATATTATTTACAGAACTGACTCGTTACTTATCAGTGCAAATAAATTGTTAAAATTAAAATTTCTGCACAATGCTTCGTATTAAAAAAAATTGCTATACGCGAGTTAGTCATTCTTGCTTATTTATCTGATTTACTCATCTGAAATTAAGTTACCTGGAATGAATTAATATTAACGATTAGAAACAATTTTCATATTCAACGGGCTCGTTACTTAAATTTTATGAAGTTAGAATATTATCTGTTTTATGTCGTTGTGACTAAATAAAATGAACTTTCGATAATGAAGCTTTCTATCTTTAAATAAAAGAAAATTAAAAAATCATTAGCAAGTATACTAGTTAAAAGATAAAGTATACCTCTTATTATTATTCTATAGCTTTACACATTATTATTCTCGTGCTAATAGATATTTAGATGTAATTAGGTATCATTTATTTATCTAGAAAACACAATTTATTAAATATTATGAAAGGGGGCAAAAATATTTAAGTTTGACATTTGCACATTCAGGCAGTTATTTTTTTGCATTTAGATAGGTGGTTAGGTCACGAATAAAATGTCAGAAATCGGTGAAGCTAGCACTAAGTGTAAAATATGTTTACATTTATCTAATGATGCCAAAACAATTAATAGGAATGTTTATCAAACAGTAAAAGAAGATAATCAAAATCCAGAAGACAGTAAATTTCTTATCAAGGCAACATCTGGATTGACAAGGATGCCATATACAACAGTGTGGAAAATTGTTATAGATAGAATTCAACCTCATAAAAAGCGGAGTGACTTTTTACGTATTAGGAAGTAAATGAAAAAATCGCTGAGGTAATTAGAAGGTCATTTTATAATTTCTGTTCAAAGTACCTAGTTCCAACGCTTAGTATGATCTACGATCAACTTGTTAAAGACTATTCTATTACGTATTCGCCTTCAACTTTATCAAGGTTCTTAAATTACATTGGTTTTCAATACAAGAAAATTAATAAGCGATCATTAATAATGGATTCCCCTCAACTTAATAACTAGAGAGACGAATACTTGGATGCTATATCTAAATTTAGAGATGAAGGAAGATCGATATGTCGATATTTTGTCTGGATAAAACATGGTTCTATATTTATATATATTTCTGTTCTATATTTCGATACTGCTCAAAAAGTCTGGACAGACGACTCTATTATGTGTGCACCCAATCATCCAATTAATAGAGGTTCTCTCTCTTCAATCCTGACCCCCCAGGGGGAGTGTAGTGGTCGACGTGATGTCGTGTATTGTCCGTCTCCGGAGATCTCTGTCTCTTGTCATTTCTTTTAATTCATGCATAGGTCTTTGGCATATTCCTGTAATTTGATCTATCCATCTTGTTGGGGATCTTCCTCGTGATCTTCGGCCTTCTACCTTTCCTTGTATTATGAGTCTTTCCATGTTTTCTGTATTTGCTCTCATAACATGCCCAAAATATTTTAATTGTTGGAGATGGACTTTACTAGAGAGTCGTTGGATAACTTTTAGCTCTCTTAAAATTGAATTATTTGTTCTACGGTCGGTCCAAGGAATTCGTAACATTCGTCTCCAACAGAACATTTCAGTGGCGTCCATCTTTCTTCTCTCCGATTGTCTCAGAGTCCAAGATTCACATCCGTAGGTCAGTATTGGGAATATTAAGCAGTTGATCAACCTCATCTTTATCGCTCTTGAGATTTGATAGTCCTTCCATCTTTTGGTCATTTTTGCTGTGGCAACTTTTGCTAGATCACATCTACGTTTAACCACTTCTTGTAATGACCCTGTGTTTGTGATTAATATAAGTATGAGCTCACAACCTCGAACCGGTCAATTGTGGTTATGTGTGGATAATTGTTGTGTAGTCTATCCACTATCATGATCTTTGTCTTTGATATGTTTAATTGCAGAACAAATATTTGACTTTCGTTTTCGATCAGTCGTATAAGTTCCAGTAATAGAGGTTAGCGAATAATTATTCAAAACATTGATCCAAAAATGGCTGGCTTGGAGAAGAAAGTTTTTACTATCGGCAAAAAACATTAAAGATTCAAAGCTGGATTACCATGAAAATATGACGAGTATCCTGTTTAAGGAATAGTTTGAAATAAGTTTGATCTGGAGCGAACTTAAGGGAAGTTTATGGCGAAACAACTGATGTCCCAAATTTAGTAGCCAATCGGTATCACATGTTGTATAAGAAATAAAAAATATTTCTTCAACACTGTGGCAAAATTATGTTTCACATATTATAAAAACGGAAGATCATTACAGAACATTACCTCACATATTAAACCAATAATTCTAACATTAGATGATGACGATTCTACTGAAGATGTCAGCGATAGTGACATAAAGTTGCAAACTGTAATTATTTTTATACATCAAAACTTTGAATTTTATTTTTATGTGTTATTGTTTCCAATTTTATTATGTTATCTCTTTTAAATCTGATTTTTCTACCACTCTTTTAATCTTTTGCTGTTATTAACATTATTTTCATTAATTTATTTAATTTGTTTATTTCTCTTATTTCATTATACATAATAACATACCTATAACTACATAGCTGAACCTCCGCTGATGGAAGAACAACTAGTCAGATTGATCACATCTTAATAGATTCAAGACACGGAACGGACATAATGAACTGCAGAAGTTATAGAGGCGCAAACATAGACTTAGACCACTGTTTAGTGATCTCAATACTAAGGGCTAGAATTTCAAATTCCAACAAAAAAAAATAATAGATAGAAAGAAATGGAATGTACAGAAGCTGAGAGATGCAATTGTTGCAAAACAGTACTGGGAAAATATTACCAATAGGTTAAGGAATTAAGGTCTAAGCGAAGAAGACCAGAGAGATATACTCCTACTGGAACAGGATAAAGGAAGATAGTGAGTCAGCAGCACAAAATGAAATAGAAACAGAAACTTGTACCCAAAAAATCACTGGTTTGACGATGAATGCAAAGATGCAACACAGAAAAAAAATGAAGCCTATGCAAAAACGCTTACCCGCCGAACTAGAACAAGAACAAGAACACGAAAAAGGAACTTCAATATAGAAAACATGAACAGAAAGAAAGAATTTATAATATTCTATAAGAAAAATAACATCAACAGAAAAGAATTCAAGGCAGACACAAATCAATGTAGAAGTTTGAATGGCGATCTATTAACAGCAAGAGACCTACTCTCCTGTATACTATTCAATCTAGCTCTGGAAAAAGTAATACGTACGTCACAAATCACAACTACTGGTTCAATATATAACAAATCTGTGCAAATTCTAGCATATGCTGATGATATTAATATTGTTGGTAGAACGAAAAACGCAGCACGAGAGGCCTACGTAGGACTAAAGAAAGCGGCTACAAAAATGGGTTAAATAATAAACACCAATAAAACGAAATACATGAAAATAGGTGCGCAACCACAAATACTACATCCACTTGTTATAGAAAACAACGTCATCGAAGCAGTGAACGAATTTTTATACCTGGAAACGTTCGTGAATACTGAAAATGACACTACCGCAGAGATAAACCGCAGAATTTGCACGGCTAATAGATACTATTTTGGGTTTAATCTCCTTTTTAAATCTACAGTTATATCAAGAAATACAAAAGTAAAACTTTACAAAACAATAATACGTCTAGTCCTAACATATGGTTCAGAATCCTGGACTTTAACAAAAAACAATGAAAACATGTTAGGATGTTTCAAAAGAAAAATACTAAGGCAAATCTATGGAGCGGTAAATGAAAATGGTGTCTGGAGAAGACGATACAACTTCGAACTCTATAGAATATACCAGGAACCAGATATCGTAAAACACATTAAGATAGGACGTCTGAGGTCGGTAGACCCCATCTGCATTACATGCAGATGGAGCAAACCGACCCAGCTAGAAAAACGCTCCTGGATAGAGCTATTAGTCAAAGAAGAAGAGGAAGACCCAGAACAAGATTCCTAGATAACATAGACCAAGATATTAGAAATATAGAAATACGTGCTTGGCGGAGGAAGGTAATGGATAGGGACGACTGGAAAAAAATTCTTGGGGAGGCTATGACCCACACAGGGTTGTGAAGCCAAACTGATGATGATGAACTACATAGAGATAAATACGTTTTAAATATATGATATGATATTTAATTTTGTATTAATTATTTCAACCCTATTAAAATATTATATTTGTTTGTTATTATAATACTAAATCGGTAGGGTGATCCCCCAAACATCAGGCAAAATTTCTTATATCTTGACGGAAACTATACTCGAAAATATGAAGTATCGTGATAAGTACAGAGTTTTCTTAAGTCGATCTTATTCTTGTCATACTTTTCTTTTCTACAGTTAAACTATCTCCCAAAAAATTGCCAAAATAAAAACTAAAACATAGTTAACAACTAATAAAATAATACAAAAATAAAAACTTAACTCTATAATTTATTTACAATTAATTCGCTACTAGTAGGTAACTATAAAGTAAAAAAAATCACCTCAGAATATGAACTAGCCGACGTTGAAAAAATAAAACATTTTTATGTAAACTTTTTGTATCTTTTGTTGATATATGATGCAATTGGTATTTATAATACAGTGGCTAAATGTTAAAAATCATTAAAACAGGAAAGATTAACGCAAAAACCACGAGAAAAATAGCAAATGGCCCAGTAGAAATGGTTGGTATGTAAGTAAATAAAAGAACTACAAAAATGGGTATAGTTTATCAGAAAACTATTGCGTCTGTATGTTTATCTCAAAAATACTTATATATTTTATTTTTTATACATTAGCTAGAATATAAAACAGCAACATTGCGACTCAGAAAAAATGTGGTAACTTTCGATTTCAAATATGTCCACTTTGTATCAATATGGCCGTATTATATAATAAAAATATTAGCAAGTCTATTATTTACCCAACTTTGAGGCTATGCTATACAAAGTGTTTAATAGCTGTAGCGCTCTAGTGTCTTGATCATCTTCCTTCTTAGAAGACCTTTCTGCCCCTCCTAGAAGGGTACTAATGGAATCTTGTTTTTGGTCTATCACTTGTTCATTAATCTGACTAGGAATAAGAGTATCTTCTTCTAGAGATTCTAGAGATTCCACTCTTTCTTCGTTATGTTTTTTTATATCTTCTGTAGCATTTTTACCACACTCACTGATCAGAAGAAGAATTAATCGTCTTGTTACTGGATTACTTTCTATCTCCTTCATTTTAACTAAAAACTCATTTTCAGTGGTATTTAATTTTCTTAATATCCTATGTAATTTATTGTGACTGTCATCGCTCGAGTTGTTCATAAAGTCTATCAGAATTCCAGAAACTTCTGATGAATTAATCGAAAAGTTAGGCAAGCTTTTAAGCTCGTAGTTTACTTCTACGGACTGGCCAATCGCTGGAAGACTCTCAACAGTAGTTAACTCGATTTCTGTTGATGAATCAAACAATATAGGAGAAGAAGGATCAAATTCATCATTTAATAAAGATGGATCTATGGAGAAGGTACTTTTCCACAAATCAGTGGCACTGGTTGAAGTGGTCCAATGGTCATCTGGTAACTCCTTTAGGATCTCAATTTGTTTTTTGTTATTATTGCTGTTAATATCGTTTAAGCCTGGGACAAATGATTGGGTGTCAGCAGTATTTAAGTCTGATCCTATGACATTATCAACGTCTATAGAATTAGGAGACTTGGCTGCTATAATGAATCCCCAGGTTGGTGAAGGTGATTGTGAAGTTGTGAAGACTGGCGGATAACTGGTTTTGGTATCATCATCAGAATAATTTAACAATTCTTCATCTATTCCGCTAAATTCGGTAGTTGTTTCAACATCTGAAGGTGGTTCTGTTGGCCTTAAGTTTTCTAAATCTCTTCTGAACATATCAGGATCGTGAAGATAAGCTGATAAAGCCAAAGTAAAGTTTCTCGCTAATTGTCGAATCTGCGGATTTTCTAATTTAAAATCTTGTTGCTTTGTCTCATTTTTACTATCAATACTTATAGGCTTATCACTTGAAGTCTCGTTTTTTATTTGCTTTTGATTAAATAATTGGTTGTAACCATGTACTGTCATTTGGGTAAGTAAAGTTGTTAATTTCTCTTTATTTTCCATCATAAACTTTTCAGGATATTTTCCAGATTCCTTGACTTTTTTTGCAATTACTTCATCTAACGCATTAGCAAAGTATACTGAAAGAGTATGTAACGTTTGAGGTCCAACGGAAGGTGGTACCACAAGACCAGGTCTTGAGCCTCCAGTTATCATTGCTTTCTCTTTAGTTATAGCAGTAAGCACATCTATCATATTATCAACATTATCATCTATAGAACTGGCTGTAGAGCTAAAGAACGGCGTCGGTTGAGTTGGTTCTGAAGAGCTGATATATTTAAAGGGACTAGCAGTGGAGATTTTGTAATCAAGATATGAATGCGGTTTGGCTGTGTTATCAAATATTGTTGGTACAGTGGAAGCTTCGTTTATGAATCTTTGGAAAGGTCTTGGTTGCTGTGTGGTACTTCGAATTGTCAAATTATAAATTCTATTGTCATCAAGATCTATGGATCTTGCAGTTGTTGATGATACTCTCTGAGATTTTGTTACGTAAAATGTGTTCGAATTTTTAATTTTGTTGTTATCATATAATGATTGTATAAGTGAGTTACTTGAATGCTGCACTAGAATCTCTGCATTACTGGTTCTTGGTTTTACTGTACTAGATTGTATTTTTTCTGGCTTATTTAAGTCAATATTCTTCACAACACTTACAGGCTTTACAGGTGGAGATCCAAAAGATTTTCCTAGATGAATAGCAACCTTATCAACCGTTTTGTTAAACTTAATCTGTACACTATTGCTTGGGTTACTTGGTACTATCGAAGGTGTTGTTGAGGAATATGTTCCATATACAATAGCGTAATCTTGAGTTTTAGGTTTGGAAGTCGTTGTTGTCGTTGTTCTCGTTGTAGCAGTAGTTGTTTTAGATATAAACCTGGTGGTTGGCGCTCGCGTTGTTGTCGACCTTGTTGTAGTACTTCTGGTCGTAGAAGCTCGGGGAGCAAGACTTTCTTCTAATCGTATAAGAAATGGCTTTGTAGTAACGTAAGTAGTTTTTACTTGCTTCTTAGGTTGTTCAGTCTTTTCTTTTAAGTTATATTTCGAAGTTATAATTGCAGATTCAGTGGTAGTAGAAACAACACCTGCAGCTAAAATCTGTTCCGTTGTTTTCTCTGTAGCATCTCGTAGTAAGGACATGGTTGATTCCTCTATGGGTTTAATTTTAGCAAAAAGGATTTTTTCTATCACCTTTGGCGTAACTAAACTTGAATTAGTGACGTTCTTTTCAGCAGCTGCTACCACGTGTACTCTAAATACATCGTCCGCATCTAGAGACTTGTCGATCTTGGTAGTGTTTGTAATTACTTGTGGGTTGATGAAGAGTGAATCTTTTGTGGATTTAATTTTAAGTCCAACTCTGCTACCTAAAAATGGTTTTCCATTATTTATTGGTTGTGTGGTAATGTACTGAGGAGTCACCGACGAAATTGTGCTGTACACTTTAGTTGATACATAAGGGAGAGTTTTTAAATCTGAGTAAGTAGTTCTATGGTTAGGAAAAGGATTGTATGAAGAAGAATCGTGAATGCTGTTAAATGAAGTTTTCACAAAAGAAGCTGTTTCTTGTGGAGTTTGCGTTTCATCTGAGGTAAAACTTTCAGTTACTTTTCTTTCAACAGAATTTCTATTATCAGATTTGTTATTTATACGATTGTTGCTAGATTTATGACTGTTTTTAACATGACTTTGAAACTCTAATTGATAATTGTCAGTGGTACTGGCTTCAATTTTGTTATACTCTGGTCCTTGATGTATACCTGATACCTGGTTAGCAGTAACATCTTTCAATTCGCTGCTTGATTGTGAAAATTGTACATGATAACCTCTTTGTGTTTTTCTAACATTATCAAAGTAGTTTTCAGTGGGAGTTGCGAATGTAGTGGTAGTAGTAGAATAGACAAACTTGTCGTAGTCAGAGTTTTCATAGTTACCTAAATCATTTTCGTTAAATCTGCGAGATTTTTGATGTGATATTCTATTTCTGGCATTGTTTTGAGATTTAGGTTGTTTTGGACTATTAGTTTCGTAATTATTCCTAGTTATTGTAGTAGGTTTTAAGGTAGTTTGAGCAATGGGCTGTGGTTCTTTAAGTGGTTTATTATGATTAGAATTATGTTTATATACGTTTTGGTTAGGGCCTACGTGGTTATTTCTTTTATTATTAAAATATTGTTCATTGTACTTATTTTCATCAGTTTTATCAAGAAAAGAATTATCTTTGAATGGCGCAGTGCTTTTCTCCTGACTGTTCAGCTTAACTTTCCTATTAAACTTTCTTCTAGCTGTGTCTTCTCTTAGATTTTCAGCGCTTTCCTCGTATAGATAAGGAGAAGTACTGCAATTCACTTTGAACCACCATTCACAAATGAGGTCGGTCTGCTGGAAGATGGTACCGTTTGGACAGAGAAATGATATTTTCTTTTCTTCTTCACAGATGTGGAAAACCTAAAAATATATTCAGAGTTAAAACGATTCATTAAACATAGATATTCAGATATAATGCACTACTTTGTATAAAAGTTAAACCCTATTTAGAAGTCAAAACAACCATTTAGATTACGGCAAATATGGTTTTTTATATTGAACTTGGTGAGGAAATGGAACTTCTATCGAAAATATTTTTTGGAATAAACATAATAAATTATAAAATAAAGAGGAGACAATGAAACAAGCGCAGAACAGTGACCCGTGCCTTAACCTCCCTTCTTTGGCAAAAACAATTGGACGAGAAACAAAAAAACACATTTACGGTAGTATAGTCCAAAGTATTACACTTTACAGTTCGGAAGTATGGGACGTCACCAAAGCTAATAGAAACAAACTTATGACGAGAGAAATGGATTATCTGAGACGAAGCTGCGGTAGATTGAAACTGGAGAGAGTTAGAAACGAACAAATAAGAAAGGAAATGAAAATGGAGCGAAATATCACTGATGACATAGCAAGAAAACAATTATTAAGAAGTGAAAATATATTCTTTTAACGTTACATAAAATAAAATATCACATATTAATAAAAAATTTTCCCATAATGGTTTAATGCTTAATCTGAATTCACCATAAGTTTTTCTGAATCTCTTTCAGTTTTGAATCCAATAATTCTCGGATGGACAGAAGGATTAAGTATGCTCATAATTTGCAAAGGCATTATTAACAAATACCTTGCCTGGGGTGATTGCAGGGTGGATTGGTAGCTCTGCGGTTACCACAGCCGCTTTCAAGCTCGGAATAAATGTGGAGGCAAGGTTAGCAACCTATCAATCATAAAAACGAATATTGCTTAAAGAAACAATGTACAGCCTCGGAACTGGATTAATAGTATGAATACGACCACGGCAAGAAATAAGGACAAGCGAAAAATATTCAAAACCCAGATAAGAATTACTACTTGAATAGCACCTGAAGTGATCGAAAGCGTTAGGAAAAAATTTATTGCCCATCTTTTACATTTTAATTTTGATAAAGGTCGCCAATTTGAACATTTGTTGTAATTGAATTGTATTTAAGTAAACATTTATTGCAAGTTAACTGTCTTAATAAACCAACAGTTTTGGTTAACTGTAGAAATAAATATGCAAATTATTATATCGTTACAAAGGCGATAAGGGGACCTTTCAAATGAGCTGTCGCGTGACCTCGGTTTGCATTTAAAAAATCGTCGATTAGGTCATTACACCGACACTGATAACGTAATGTCTAACAAATATATCGCAGTTGATGGCCAGTTTTATTTACCATATTATCTAGAGTTCATATTGGTGTAAAAGGGCAGAAATGAACAACCAAAATGTTAGGCAATATCGAGTACGTTTTATTACTTGCATGGACGTGCTAATCAAAAATATTTTTAAGGGGGCTGCTAACTTCAAACTTCCATATACTTATCATTGCAGCGCGAATCACCTACGAGCGGCGCTGCCCACAGTATAACAATCCATGCGAAGCAATTGTGATTCGCGCTGCCCTGTAAGTAAAATAAGCGTAAATCGTATATGATTCGCGCAGCGTTTAACATGTTAATATAGAAATTGATTTAAAATAAAAACTTTAAATGATTCTTCTCCCCTTCATGTGCCAATTAGTGATCGATATTAATAAAGAGAAGTAAAAGCTCAGACTCAAAATTTTTGGAGTCTTCGCTAAAAATCGTATTAACCCATTGGGTGGTACAGAACAAATAGGTACTCCAATTAATATTAGTAATATATTTAGTGTGACTAACTAGCCCGAAAAATCCGGGACATGGCCCGAATTACGAAGTCGTGTCCCGGACAAGGCTTCCGGGCCATCCGAATTTTCAACATTTTGGTAAAATTATATTTTGATATTTTGAATACGTTATTCTTCTGAGAATTCACATCAAATTGAATTGGCGGGACGAAAAAAAGTCAAAAATTTCTAGAGTGTAATACTAATACCACATCCAAAATCCATGCATTTTATATTATGTTATTATTGTTCTACGAAAACTCAAACTGTGGACTTTCCCGTTTCTGTATTTTAATTAGTGTCTTCTGAAAAGACGATTCAAAAACATGAATATCAAATAATGACAATTATATTTTTATATTAACCTAATGTTCTATTCCCATGGAAATCCAATATCAGTTAATTTTCTAATTTTTCCCTTTTTGAGAACGATTTCCGGATTGGAAGTCGAAACGTCAAAAACTAACAAAAATATAATTATCACTACAATCCATTCCATCCAAAAAAATTTATCAACCTAAAATGTTAAATATGTAATCAATAAAATGATATTTTATTGATAAATGATAAAGTTCCATATTAAAAAAATGACCCGATTTTCATTGGAAAGACCCGGATTTTAGGTATTTTTTTCAGCCTTGTCCCGAATTTGACTGACTTGGAGTTAGTTACACTAAATACATTACGCTCCCGAATTTTTCATATTTATGTAATTTTTTCTTAGCGCCATCTTATACATAATGGCTACATTAACAGAGCCTAGATTCTTACAGATTCCTATACTTTTTTCGTATTATATGTCCAATATTATTTACGTTTCACATGTCAAGTTCTATTAATTGCAGAAATTTATTTTGAAAGTACACCACGTAAAAAGTACTTTATTAATTCACATTCTTTTAACGTTACATCCTTCCATTATATATATTCTAGTTCTAGACGGAATTTTATCATCAAATTCGTTTAAATATTTGAGTAATTTAGATATAAACGCTCTTATATTTATTGAGAAAAAAACAAAATTTTCACATTTTTTATAAACAATACACAACAGGTAGGACAGCAAAAATATGGCTGTAATTAGCGAGATATATTGTTAGTAGGTTAAGCATTTTTCGGTATACATATATGCTCTAGATTATGAGTGGTGTACTTTATAAAGGTGATGGGATCGCCTATACTTATAACATTACCAATGGCCGGCCTTAAAAAATTAAAATTGACGTGTTTTAAGATTTTGTTTAGAAGTCGTCTGTTACTGAAATAATAAATTTATTCCATACATTTGCATCATACTGTATATGAAATTTAACATGGACTCTGCATATCGGGAAATAAATAAGGCTAGTATTGGAAAGAAAGGTTCTCAGAATGATATTTGGACCTCAAAGAGATGAATTGACAGGAGCGTGGAGAAGGCGCCACAATGCTGAATTGGTGACACTGTAGGGTACTGAAAACAACGTCAGACTTATAAAACCTAACTGGATAAGGAATGCAAGTTATATAATAATAGAGAAAGACAGAGTGCTAAAGGCAGACCGTTTAAGAGACCAGACAGTAAAAGATTAGTAGACCGTCCTAGAAACAGATAAAAGGATATTAAAGCAAATTTATCTGGGATTGTGAGACAACAATGGAAAATGGAAGAGAAAAAGCATAGAAGATGAAGGGCTATAGTGGATGCGGCAGAGAGTTACCTCGAGTTGTATAGTCAGTAAAGAAAAGAAGAAGAAGGAGAATATATCTCGTCTCATAAAGAAAACAATGAATAAATCACTCAATTCTCCAAGAGCTTAACATTTAAACTCGACTCTCTTCTATGTGTCTCCCAGGTGTCTTGAAGTTTTTCGGATAATATCACAAGAAGAAATGATCATATTGAGACAAATTTCTAGATGTGTTATAGCCTGCCAATTATCGAGCAGGTTGACTGCCACATAAAAATATTTAAAAAAGTCCATGGTGCCAAGTTGAAAAAAGTGCATCTGGCAACCAACTGGAATACTTCCATTACTAATATTTCACCAATTTCAATTATTAGTCCCAATTGTTGAAAAAATAGGTCAGCGGTCGAATACGACCGCCGGGGCGTAGGCGGCATACTTATCCCCCTGGTGCCAAGCGGTCGGTCGGGCGGTCGTTCTGTTCATGATGAGGCTTATCGAGTATTATTCTGCTGAGTGGTTGTTTTGACCAATATTTTATCAGTAGGGGATTGATTGTTAGTCAGACAAGTAAGTTAATTGTGCTCGTGTTATTTTTAGAGTTAGATAATAGTAAAAACAATTATTATTTCTTGAAATAAAATGGGAAGTCGCGGTAAAATGATGGTTGGTATGGTTTTGGAAAGCATTGTACGTTCAGGTAAGATATAATTTTCATATCATATATTCCTATTATATTTTCACATGTAAATCATTGCATAGGATTACTGTTTGAAGTACGTACCTACACAATAAGCAAGATAATATTCTGAAAAATACACGTTTATTTATTAGTAGAATAGAATAGAAAAAATAATGAAGTAAAACAAAACCAATTAATTGCAAAATTTAAATAAGTAGCAAATTGCATAATTTACGTTTTTTTTGAAAGTTTCACGGTTAAAAATTTTGTTTTTTTTTTCAGATGACGAACCTAGTGATTTTTTCTTTGATTCTGACCTAGACCCTCTGTTGTTACCGTCCACCGATGAAGAAATTCTATATAGCTCTGATGGGTCAGAAGCGGAAGAAGAAATAAATTTGAAAAATAAACGTAGAAAGCTAAACACTCTTGTTACAAAAAGGGAAATTGGTAATAAGCTATGCTGTTCTAAGTCACTTTCCAGCCTGGATAACATTCATAAAGAAATACACTCTTTGGGTGAAAATTCAAAAAATATTGTCCAACTACAGCCTTTGGAATCGAACAGTGCTTTTTCCTCGGAAAAATCAGCTGACTTTTTTCAAGTTACACTCGATCAACAAAACCAACAAAACATATTATCATTTGAGCAAAATGAAGATCATCAAAGCCAGGAAAATTCTGCTGATGGATACGAACAAGTCTCATGAAAAAAACCTATTGGCAATCACAAGATTTTCAACTATTCTGCGGAAGCTGGATTACAGGCAAATTACGCTGCAGCTCTTATAAAAAATTTGTCCCCCTATAATTGTTTTCGAATTTTCGTAGACGATGAAATTATAGATGAGATGGTTAATCAAACTAACTTGTATGCCACCCAGATTTTGTGCGATACTGATGATATCAGTAACGAATCTAGACTACATCGATGGGTTCCAACCACCAGAAAATAATTGATACAATTTATTGGCCTTGTAGGTTATATGGGACTTGTGAGGCTTGTATGGTTCTGAAAATTATGCCTAGCAACCGATTTCAGCTCCTTCTAAGAATGTGGCACTTATCCGATAATACCTCGTGTCCAGATAGTGACCGCCTGCACAAAGTCAAACCATTGCTAGATAAACTTATTAAAAACTTTCAAGCAGTTTATACAACAGGGCATATATTCTGTACATACCGCAAAAAACGCATAAGTATGGAGTTAAGCTTTTTAAACTTTGCAGTGGCAATGGCTACACGTATAATATAAGGATTTATGCAGGTAAGGAGAAAAATGGAGGTAACGCTTCTGTACCAACAAATAGGTAGTAATTAACCTATCAGAACGCCTTTTGAATTCGGGTCGTACGATAGTAGCCGATAACTACTATACAAGCCTAGAGTTAGCTAACATTTTACTTGACAAGGAAACTCACTATATTGGGACGCTAAGAGCATATTGTCGTGGAAATCCAGAAGAAGTAAAAATAAAAAATTGAAAAAAGGGGAAACCTTTGGGTTGGAAAAACGAGAGAGCATCTGCGTTTTGAAGTGGAAGAATAAAAGAGACGTCTTATTACTATCCACTAAACACACTACCGAAACTCGAGCAATTCAGCAACGAAGTGATGTTGTTCATAAACCTCAGGCTGTAATGGAATACAATAAGGCAAAGTCCTCAATTGACCAGTCAGGCCAGATGGCAAGTTATAATTCACCTCTACGAAAGTCACTGAAATGGTACAGGAAGCTCGCGGTAGAATTTCTTCTTGGTACATCCCTCGTAAATTCTCACATTATTTTGAACCAACTAGCCGATAAAAAGATGAAAATAAGTGAATTTAGAGAGCATGTAATAAAGTTGCTCTTAAGTTATAAAGACAACATTGAGTCACAGATTAATTCCGAAAGGGAACAACAACAAATACGAACTACAAGGAGATACACACTACAGGAGACTAGACTACAGGTACAGACTACACTGTACACCTTATGTTTCGCTGATGACCAAATACTGATTGCTTAGGATCATGACGACTTGAGTTACATGACTCGAAAGCTAATAGAAGAATATAGCAAATGGGGTCTCGAAGTCATCATTAATAAAACTGAAGCCATTTGTATTGGAGGGACAAAACAATCCATTATATTAGACGATGGGGTAGAAATTAGAAACTGTGATGAATACAAGTACTTGGGTATGAATATAAACTCAAGATGGAACACTCGATGCTGCTATAAAAGACAGAAACATACAGGGTAGAAAAGCCATATCCACGATGAACGGCATTCTGTGGGACCAAACAATATCTAAAGCGAACAAACAACTCATATACAACACCATACTTAAAATTGTAATCACATATGGCAGTGAAGTTTGGCCAACGAAACAAAGAACAGAGAAACTGTTACTAGCAACAGAAATGGACTTCTCGAGAAGAGCAGCAGGCAAATCAAGAAGAGATCGGATACCAAATGAGAGAATACGAGAAATGATGGCAGTCAAGCATACAATAGTTGATGACATAAAAACCAAACAGTTAATATGGTACGGCCATGTACAGAGAATGCCAGATGACAGGATTCCAAAACAGATTTTGTCATGGATATCACAAGGGAGAAGGAAAAGAGGAAGACTGAGAAGAAGCTGGAGAGAGGGAATTGAAAAAGAACTAGAGGAAAGAGAAATCCCTTCAGACCTGTGGTTGAATAGAGAAGAATGGCGGTTAGGAGTCGGAAACGTCGGAGAACGCTGTAAACCGATAGTAGTAGTAGTAGTAGTACTAAAATCTTTAACCACGTTATTTTCACTTTACAGTAAATTCTTAATATAATTAGGTAAATTGATATTGTTTTCTTCTTGAACTTGAACTTGGACTTGAACATTTAGTTTAAAGTTTAGATTTATTAGTTCATTAAGGTTTCTTGAACAAAATTTTTTTAAAAAATGTCAAGAATCACAGTTCAAAATAAGTTTATTTACGAAAAAATATATTAAGAAAGAGGTACAGTTTTTACCTGGCATTCAGTATCTAGATCAGCATAATATCCAGACTCCAATCCTTTGCAACTGAACGTAGTTCTGGGAATATGAGAATATACTGGAAAGTCCACACCAGGTGTTCCTTCTACTCCTTGATAAAAAAATAGAAAATCGTCAGATTTTGGACTATTGACTGAAGTTTGTTTTTGAGGGTCAGAAAAATGATGTTCAACTCCATTCACGTACTAAAAAAAATCAAAAATTAAAATTAAATTTCAAATAAATTTTAATTTTAGTATTTTCTATCTTTGCTATATTAATTAATAATAAGGAATAAGAAATATGGGATAATCATTATCAAACTCCCGTGCCAATCCCCGCGCCAAACAACACGCTTACCCTCATGCTAATGATAACTAACGCGGTTCAATTCAATTCATTTTAACTCTAGGTTTAATTGTAGAAACCGCGGTAACCTTTCGAAACAATATATATATATATATATATATATATATATATATATATATATATATATATATGTAAATTAAAAACAATTAAAAAGAAAATAACAATATTATTACTTAACTGCGGTGGATTACAAATCTGCAAATAATTACATTAGGAAAAATATTTATTACAAATATATTCCTTCATAATACTTCTTTACTTAGTACCTCTAATTAAATTTAAAATCAATCAAAAATCTCAGATAGCATCAATTATCAATTAACTACAGTAATTTCTTTATACTTCCTCTAGAAATATTTAAATTTCTGTAATAGCAGTAGCGTTAAAAATAACAATAATCATTTAATCTTCCCTATCTACATCGATTATATAATGAATGGTATTAAAAACAAGCAATTACATAAAAATCGTAAAGGTCGAAACGTTGTAACATTTGTTATTATTTGCTAACGGCAAGAGGATGTTGGCACTTAGATACCAGGGCTAAATCAAAGATATTTGCAGAGTAGGAAGGTTGCAAAGAAAATTTTATGCACTCTCAATACTTTCCTTTTTCAGATAGTTCTTATTTTTATTACAGTCATTTCCTCTATTTCCTTCAACAGCAAACCCAAAATGCACCTATTTTTAGATATACAAAAGTTTTAACACCAGAGACAGTTGGAAAAAAGTATTTTGCTCTGGTCCAGGTTTTTTCTTTTTGTATTTGTTTACCGACCCAGGCCTATGTCTTTTGATTTGTGTTGTATGAATCAGACTGGCAATTATATTGTCTTTTCTCTTCGTGTTTGGAACTCTTCTTTGAAAGCGTTATTGGAAATGAGCCTTATTTTTACGCATGTAAAACGTTTACTGTTGTGCTTAACCGATACAAAACTAGAGCTTTTTTAGGAGTTACACATCTAGTAATTTAGACACTTTTCCTTTTTCCTCCTGTAACTCTTCTCTTTCTAGTCTCGTCATTTTCCTCACCAAGACTTATATTTTCATCATCCTTTAAATAGTAAAGTAATTACTAATTGTTTTTAAATTCTTTAACAGCCTCTAATTTGCAAGACTCACTGGGTCAGCTGAGTAGCAGTTGCAAAGCTCCTATTGGTTGGTTGGAAATAAGCTAGTTAGCATATACCAGTATAGTGAAAATAAGTTGGTTTGCAAATAAAGGTGGTTTTTAACACGCTTTTACCATTGGTAATATTTTTTTTGTATTAATCAGATAAAATAAACCACTTTGGCTATAATAGAACAATGCATCGGCACATCTAAATCAACTTTGATTTTTGTGTGACTTAACGCTGTTTACATGTTACCTCCTCATAGATGTCACTTATTTTAAATAAACAGCTTACCTGAATGTGGAAAAATTGTGTTACAATTTTATGAATTGCTATCTTAAAATCAGCAGTAATAGTTTTTGTATTAATTTTAAATTTAACACGTTCCTTGCCGCCAACGCACTTTGTGCGTTTTCGGGACAATTTTATTATGTCGGAAGAAAGGATATTGCAGAATTTATTTGGACTTTGGAACAGGTAACTTTTATGGTCTTGTTTTATTATTTTCTTATATAGTAGCATTTTGAACAGTATTTTCACATATAATAGTAACCTGCGTGTAATGTAAACACACTAGGTGCGTTCATTGGCTCCTGGCGAGGATTTGTTTTAGTATTAAGTAGTTATTTATTTCTTCTAGGATAAGAAGAGAAACGAGTGGATAAGAGAGAAAACAAAAGTGAGGGATGTTAGACAAGAAGTTGCAAAATTGAAATGGAGATTTGCCGGACACAATATAAGACAAAAAGAAGACCGATGGAACAAAATTCTTATAAGTTGGACACCGTGGGAATATAAACAAAGCAGGAAGGCCCCAAATGAGATGGGCAGATGATATCAAGAAGCACGTGGGCTCTAGATGGATGACTGTAGCGACAGACAGAGAAGAATGGAAAAGGATTAGGGAGGCCTATGTCCAAAGATGGACAGAAGAAGGCTAATTAGATATATAGATAGTTATTTATTTGCAGTTCTCATGAATAAATTACAGGACTATTGCAGTTATGAAAAAGTTCAAAAACAATTGCAAAGCGTGATCAAGCTTAGCACAGAAAGACATTGTCTGATCAATAACTTCTGCAACTTTAAGAAGGGTCTAATGCTGAAGATGTTCCAGACTATATTGACGTACTAGTTCTAGTGATGAATCTTCAGGTAGTTATAACTGTCAAAACTCAGTGACTCGTCCAGTTAACCCTTCCCTGTCTTTGCCGACACCACCAGTCTTAGAAATCCAAAATTCAACCAAGTAGTCATTAACTGAGTACCAAAAGATTAGTTTTAATTTCAATAAAATTCCTAGTTTACTTGTTAACGTAAATGAAACAGAACCAATTGATTATTTTCACTTGTTAGCAACTAACGATTTTTATAATGATCGTTGTAGCAAAGCAAATACACACGCTGTCGAGTTATTGTGTCAAAGTTTCGGAGTTAAATCAAGAAGTGCATCTTGGAAAGATATAACAGTTGACGAATTAAAGAAGTTCTTCAGTTGATATGAGATAATTTGAGTAAAGCGACTTAACAATTATTAGAAGAAGCTCTACCTCTTTAGTTTATTTTACTGCATTTTCAAGCTTTATGAGTCGAAACGGATTTCTTCTCATTTTAATAGCTTTGCAATTCAAAAATCGCCAAAATCGAGTCAGTCGAACAGAAATCGGAAAAGTCAAGCCATTGACTGATTATTTCAATGATAGAATGAGTGCAGTTTATTACTCCAATAAAAAACTCTCATTGGATGAATCCATGATCCTTTAAAAAGGCCCCCTAAAATTTCGAAAATACATCAAGCAGAAACGACTCAAGTTTGGTGTAATGCTGTACTTACTATGTGAGCCGAAAGGGCTGGCATTAAAACTTAATGTCTACGCAGGTTCAGCAGATGTACAGTTAGGAGAATAACAAGATACTGCAAAGATGGTTCTGTGTTTATTAGAAGAAAAACTTGGTGCTGGTCATGCGTTATAGGTGGACAACTTATATAATAGTGTCAATCTCATTGTGACTTTATTGAATAACCAAATATATGCAACAGGGACACTCAGGGTTAATAAAAAAGGAAGTCCTCCTGACGTTTTAACAAAAAATTGTTTAAAATGCCAAGTAGTCAACCAGTATAATTTTCGAGGCATATATGTCACAAAGTGGAAGGACCGTAGGGAAGTGTTAGCCATACTTAGCGAATTTATTAGAGAATTGAAGGAAAATTCGAATAAACGAGGTCATGTGAAGCAGAAACCACAACTCATATACAGTATTGTGCGAATTAATGGAATCATGGGCTGTTTTAATGAAAAAACAGTTTATTTAGTAAAAAATTATATTTTGACAAAACTATAAAGGCAAACTTACATCATTCAGTAGGAAATATGTCCCCTTTGGCAGCAATTACTGCTTTTACCCGTTTTGGCATAGAGTCTATGAGTTTCTGGCAGTTGTCAGATATCCTTTCATCGCGATACCAAACCTGAATGGCCGCTTCTATCATTTTTGTTTTAGTGGTACAGTCGATGTTTCGCAGTCGAGCTTTGCAAATGGCCCATAAATTTTCAATGGGGTTGAGGTCGGGTGAATTACCGGGCCAATCTAAAACATTAATCTTCTTTTTGTTGAAAAATGCCATCATTTCCTTTGATTTGTGACAGGGAGCAGAGTCCTGTTGAAGAAACGCTCCTCCTTGGGGTTGACATTTTTGGAGTTGTTTGTCCAAATACTTTTCCAACATAGATTTGTATTTCTGGCTTTTCATCATGCCTTCAATTGGCACCAAAGATCCAACCCCCATGTATGAAAAACATCCCCAAAACAGTTTCTTGTGAATATTGAAAAAATGAAAACAAATTCACAGTGATTCCATTAATTCGCACAATACTGTAAGTATAACGATTTTATGTCGAAGGCAGATCATACTTATCAAATGTTATCTTACTACAGTTGCAGATATAACACTCTTATTTGGTGTAAGAAAGTTGCTATCCATGTGCCAAATCATGCTGTTGAATTTACGGTTTCTATATAACGGCAATAGTTCAAACAAATTAAATTATTTTTCGGCTTGCGGTCTTTGAAAAACTTCTTGAGACACTACCTGCAAAACACATTCCAAGATTTAAAGTATATTATCTGCCAAAATATTGTCTCAAAGGTAAAAATGGAAAGGCGAAAAGAGGACGATGGTAAAGTCTGGAAGGATTCCGTTTACTATTGCTCCCAATATCCTGAAGGTCCCGGAGTGTCCCGGTATGTCTAACTTTATGTTTTCGTATATTTCATACAAACCTATATCCTATAACCTATAACCTATAACTAAAATTAAGAGTTATTTTGTATTATAGCGCATTCTGCGGCACTACAGTTTCACAAACATTGAACAGTATCGACAACGCGCCTGGCGCGTTTTTTTTTGTTCTGTGTTAAAATAAATTGTTAAAAGCTCAGATAAAATAAGAGGTTATTATAAAAAAAAAAACTGACATCTGCAGTAAAAAAAAATAGAACTGGCTCACGAGTATAACTCTACCATCGAAATTGTCAATAAATAAGTTAAAAGGGTTTACTATTCTAAAAATAATTAAAATATTTTATAAATTTCATATATCTTGTTATATATAGGTAAAAAACTCTAACGGAACATATTGTTCACTTTTCAAATCGTGAATGAGTTGTTAAAAAATATCTCTCCTTTTTAAGTTGTCATAGACCATTTTGAGCGTTGG